TTATGTTTGTATTTTTTAAAAAATAAAAGTAACGATATTTTGAAAAATACATATAATAGTTTTGCACCTAGTATAATTTTCTTGAGATTTTTTTTTAATAATGCTTTAATTAAAACTTATTTCAAATATAACCCTCAAACTATTTCCAAGAATAGCACGTCGTCGACTCTTTTCAAACATTATTAAAAAAATATCCAATTTTCTTGAGTTTTTTTTATTTTTTAATTTTTTGAGGAAAAAATTTCTTGATCTTTAAAACATTGGGGGAATAAATAGTAAATACTTACCGCAGTGAGATACGCTGACCGGTTTTCGATTTCTCCGATCATATTTTTGGTGAATGCCACCGCCGGAAATCCGCCGTGAGCGGCCTTGTTTTCCTTTTGCGCATCTCGTTTCGTCAGCGAGCGGTACAGCTCCAACACTTCCGGTACTCGCCGCACTGCCTTTGATCCGGCGAGCAGCTTCGTCGGAAGCGGCGGCGGCGGGGGCGCCGGAGCCGGAGCCGGTGCCCCCTCCGGCATTCTCTGGCTCTCTTTCACGGCGACCCAAACAGGCTGTTTCGGCGATGATTTGGTCGCCTCCCGTTTGTCAGTCGCCGGCGGCGACTCTGCATCCATGGAGTTGTAAAATTTCTTCCAGAGAAGGGATTTTCTGTCATTGTTGTGAGCTTTGAGAGACTGAATCTGCGATTTGAGACGACCCAATTCTTGTCTGAGTTCTTGATTTTCTTTCTCTAGAAAATCTGATTTGTCCACAGCAATTTGCAGTTCTTTTCTCAAGCTGGTGATCTCCATGGCCAATTCTTCATCTTCTTCCTGCGGCATTATATTATATTTTCTCTTGATTTTCACCGACCTTCTCTAATAAATGAGACAGGAACATCATACAGTTTTTTTTCTTGATTTTTTGGTCTCATTTATTTATTTCAATTTTCAATCTCTTGCTTGCAGAGAAAGGATGGTATACAATGCGCCAAAGTTTCTGTGAAAAAATATTCCATGGAATGCCCTTCACTAAAATTTTTATCGCAATGTTGACTCTAGAAAATGGGAGAGAAGATTTTCACGAAGAAGGGTATTTTTGACATTTCGAACCCTCTGTCCCGCTGAAAGGACCTAAAAAGAAAAGTGCCATAAAGATTTTATTCCCATTGGGCCAAGCGGGGTCACCCCGACAGACCCTCAGAAAACCTAGCTCGCACTAACTTGAAAACAGTGACATCACAAACGTAAATTTTGTTGAACATCAAGTACGAAGTGCCTGAATATGGGGTAACACAACACTTCTAAAAACTCTCCTAATAAAGGCGGGATCCATTCCTCATAAAGATACGCAGTTTCTGTGAAACCTAACTAAACTTTGGCTCAACACGAGCTCGAACAAGCAAAGATTTTATTTGCAAAGTCATCATCTCAACTGACTAGACATTYACCTCGAATCAGAAGTTGACTCATCACTTTGTCGAGAAGCCTTCATCAAACAAAAAATACCACGCTCACAATTATTTAATTAAAATACGCCATATTCGTATTTACTTCTGTAAACATTCTATCTAATCAAAGTTTCCCAAGAATTGTGGCTACAACAAACGTATCTTTAGAAAAAAAAAAACATGAAGATAAATAAGATACTTTTATTCTTTGTCCAGATAAATTACCTTAATCAATGTTTCTCAAACAGATACTTTATCTTAAATTTAGAAATAATTTAAAGAAGAAGAAAAAAGAAAAAAAGAGACTGTAATTGAAGTTTTGAATGCATGGCCATTGTAGGTGACAAGTTCCCTGCCCTTTCTGGCATGCCATAATAGTGATGGTTGTCTTTAACAAGACTTGTTAAGTTAGGTACACCATTTATAACATTCGTTTAATTACCTTATAATTACTCAACTTCCTCTCCCAACTCTAATATCTCTCGTGTCAAAACGAACATAGCTTAGTGGTAATTGACATATATCTCTAACCAAAAGGTTGTAAGTTCGATCCCTCACTCCCACATATTGTACTCCTCTCGTCGGGTTTAATTGTTTATCCAATTTAATTTTTAAATTACAAAATACCTTTCGAACGATAAATCTGGTGACCGATTTCCAAAAGTAGTTTAATGTTGTATCGCGTTTTTTTGCTAGGTTTCCATCGCTGATCAATTCAAGTAATTTAGGGGTTCCTCAAAGACACGGGAGTCGAAAAGATTAGATTTTGGTGGGTTATGAAATTGCATTTTGCCAAGTTTTTTTACTCCTGAAGCAAAGGGGAAAAAGGAGAGAAAAAACGTTTGAATGGCACTGAGGGATTGTTGAAAGTGAAATATTAAAGTAAAAGAAAATGATTTGGATAATTACATGTCACCAAAATAATTGAAATTTTTTAATTACTTCTTGCCCAAATTTGTTTTATTTAATCGGGTTAGGTGTCAAATTGAAGGGCGCGTTTGTCTCAAAATTGTGAAGCCGAACCAAAGTTCTAAATATCAATGTTGATGTCCATAGATGTATTTTTAGAAAATTATAAAAATAACATTATAAATAATTAAATTAACAAATAAATAAAATAATATTTTGTTACTATGAAAATGTTGATTGACCATTTTCGTTGATATCGAATACATGAAAATTAAAAATATCGAGGATGGAAATTTAATACCATGATTGAGACTTTCCTATTTTCACATATTCAAAATGAGGAGTACTAAATAATTGAATGATTATGAAAAGTAAAAATGATTTATTTTCAGGTTTGTCATAATTTTGAAGTAAAAAGTGTCACATCTTGGAAGGAGTTAGTTGAGCAAATATTATTGTAGAGAGGTTGCTTTGCTTTGTTGGAGGGCACATGGGGAATAAAAGTGGCATTTTTTTTTTTTTTGGTTTAATTTCCCCATCAATTAGGGAAAGCTCATAATCATTAAATGTTGAAGGTTGTGAAGTATGAAGAATCAAACCAAGAAAATCAACAAAATTTCTTGGTGGGTGTTGTTACATTTAATTCTAGTATGTCCCAAATGCTTCATATATTATATAATAGAAAATACTTGCCTCTTTAATAGTTAGGAAATTTTTTTTTCTTACCACAATTAAATGTCGACAATTAAGAGAGAGAAATGAAAAACTAGAGACTTTTTATAAAAATAAATAAGTTGGCAATTTTTCAATGACGGCGGGATAAGAAATCAAGTATTTTCCTTATATAATACCAAATAGAATTAGTGGAACAACTATGATATTTTATTTATTTTCATTTACTTGTTTCTCATTGAATTAAAAAAATTAATAAGATCTGAATGCTTAATTAATATATAATTTAAATTAGAGGCAGAGTAAAGAAGAAAGGAGGGGAAAATATCTCCTCTTAATTCGACGTAATACAAAAACTATATACAGAATACTTAAGGAGCGCAAATTCTATTGATATATATATATATATATATATATATATATATWTTTTTTTTTTAATTTTTAATGTCAATTGCTTAAATTATATTCTTTAATGTCTTTAAAATATTGAGAGTACATAAATTAGTTCAGAATATCCCATTCAATTCCACCGTAATCATTTAAGAAATTTATATACGTTTGAAAACAAATCAATTTTTACATCTGATGAGGTGTATGCAATTTTACTCTAAACTCTCAATTTTATCGATTAAACCTTAAATTTGGATAAGTGTTGCAATCTCTACTTTAGATTTATGAAAAAACATTACCATATTTACTATCAATTTAGATTATTGTGGTAAAATTTACCTTCTAATATGTTTTTTTTTGAAGATTCACTAAAATAATATTCTTACGTGCGCTTAATGAATTATAAAAGATGTGAATTATAAAAGATGTGTTTAGTACAAAATTGATAGAATTTTAGAGAAAGAATAGTATAAGAGCTAGTTTTTTTTCTCCCTTTCTTTTTGTTGAAATTTATGAATTTTGACAAAATTATTCAATGGTCAATTTTATGCCATAATGGCAAGGCTTGATTTTCATTAAAATGAGTGAGGTTCTAGAAAATGTAACATTTTTTTTTTGGTTAAGTGTATTTTTTAGTACAACATATGGGAATGAGAGATCGAACTCACAATCTCATGGTTGTAGGTGTATGTCAATTACCACTAAGCTATGCTCGTTTTGACTTTTTTTTGTTAAGTCAGTGAGTCATTAGCTGAAATGAGAAGTTTATGATGATTTTTTTATCTCAACAAAGTGGGGGCATGAATTTGAACATCTGACATTTAGGACAGATGACATTAACGTACAATGTTTTAACTAAGTTATCTAGATTCAAGTTTGCTGTATTGAGACAACGCATTCTAGAATTCGATGAATCCCAGATATGAAGAAAACTGATATACCTTGTCACGAGTTTTTTATTTATAAAATTTCACTTTTAAAAAAATTGAATTGCAATTTTCTTCTTAAAAGAAAAGGACTCAAGAAAATAATAAATATGTTGAATTCACATAGTGTCATTTTTGTTAGTACAACATGTTAGGGAGGAGATTCGAACTCACAATTTTATAGTTGGAGATATATGTCAATTAGCGCTGAGCTATACTCGCTTTTGGCAAATTCACATAGTGTCATTTGGTGATTAACAATTTTAGAAAATTTAATATAAAAATTTGATGACCATTTGAAGGTGAATTAATATGGTGAAAATAATTTAATAACTAATACTGATAATTTGATGACAATATATAAAAATTGATTAGTGAATGATTTATGAATTAGTAACCAAAATATGAAGTAACCAAATCGTATCATTTATCATTATTAATAACTATTTAATAATAAATAAAAAAACAATTTATAATTTGATAATTTAAATGGGTAGCTAGATTTGGGCCATTTTAATAAACTAGTATTACCACGTGCAATGCACGTAAATTTTTTTTTTAATTATAAGGTAACTTAAATTTTATATAATTTCAAGTAAAATATTTTAAGTATAATTATTTTTAAAAATAATTAAGATTAATTTTTATATATATTTATTATTATTGACAGCTAATTACTAATAATAAAATGTACTATTTATAAGTATTGGACATTTTAATGATATATTTTGTAAATAAATAAATTAAAAGTAAAGGAAAAAATTATATATTAATAATAAAGTAAATAGGTATTTTAATATTTTTATTTTTAAATTATTTCAACCTAATATGGGTCCTTTATTTTATTTTTTAATATTTTGTTTGTTTATTAAATATTTGTTTAGAGCTGACATTTTGTAATATATGTTGAATTTTTTAACTAAATATAAATTATTTTATTGATTTAATTTTATATTATAATTAAAATTATTAAAGAAAAATTCTTCAAATTGTATTATTAGAAAATAAAAGGAAGAAAAGTTTTATATTCCACCTTTTAAGATTCTATACAAATTATTGTTTATAATTAATTTATTAATTAAACATTTTTTTATGTATTGACTTCTATGATTGTTTTTTTTTTCAACAATAAGAACAAGAACATGAGCTTGTAATTATCTATATTTTAAACAAATATTCTAAATAAAATTGCTCAAAAAAGAAACATTCCAAATAAAAAAGTACACTAAACAATAAAAAAACATTAGTAAGAAAAAGAAAAATTCAAATCCTAAACTAAATAAAATTGCTAAAAAAAGAAACATTCCAAATAAAAAACACACTAATTAGAAAAATAACAATAGTAACAAAAAAAAAATCCAAATACTTACTATACACTCATCTTTTAGAGTAAATATGATCATTCTTGAAGATTGCTTGAYATATACTATTATTCAACTTTGTAAAATTGTGGAATGGTAATGTCACAAACYTAGTATTCGAGATATGTAGATTCAACATATGCCTCCMTTGCAACTTGATGAMTATGTYACAAATATYTCGAGATGTTTTCATGATTGA